TTAATATTGTTACGAAAATGCTTTATTTCATTGGCACAATTATTATATTGCTATAGAATATGACAGCATAAATTATCTGCTTAATATCACTACATGACAACATCATAATGATGTCATGGGATAAATAAAATTTTAATTGTATACTGATACTGTTAAGTATGACATTAGTGTGGCATCTTATAAAATTGTGACAAACAAATTGATTGTGAGACGTCTCAGAAAAGTATGCCAAACATGTCTTTGTATGTCATTCCTACAATTGCATCATCGATAATCTCTTTTTCTAATTCTGCTTCCACCATGGCCCCATCATAGGAGGAACTATGCCTGAGTCATTTTCCCATGCAAAAGCTGCAGAGTTTAATTATGACAAATATTAATTTTACATATGATTTTTTTGTGCACTATTTAAAGTAATTCACTTTGAAGATCAATAACAATAACAATGTATAATAGACTTTGTCATGAGATTACTAATAATCTCTGATGTATCAAGACACAATAATTTGGCTCTGTCAAAAATCTTCATATTAAATGATATCTATATCAAGGGTTTGTTATATTGAGTTTCATTGTATAATAGACTAGACAATTAATATAAACACATCTATGGTGTGCCAGAGTCAAAAGTCTGTATTTTAATACAGATTTTCTGTATTAAAATACAGTTATTTAATGTACAGATTCTGAAAAATGCAGAATTTTGTTTATGGTAAATTAAATGATACATTTAATTCCCAACAGTTTGGTATTAATTGATACTTTTCATCCAATCATTTTGTAGCACAAAAGTGTACTAAATTTACATTTACGGAAAACTAAATGATATTTTCGACTCGACTTAACTTTATTTAAGAAACATTATTATTATTATTATACAGACTGGTTAACATAAGTTATGGCAACACTAATATAATACACAGAAATGCAAATGCTAAGTCATAACCTCTTTGGAAAAGTCTGAGTACAAAGATTACAGAACCATTACGAGGATTGCAGGTAGCTTTAATAGCAAGAGTGAAAGATCTGTCTGAGAAATGTTATATGGACTGCTACGTAAGCTATGGCAATATGCAGAAATGTAAAGGTGAAGTCATAACCTCTTTGGAAAAGTCTGAGTATGAAGATTACAGAACCATTGCAAGGGATTGTGGGTAGCATTAGGAGCAAGAGGGAAAGAACTGTCTGAGCGAGTGACAGGTGAGAATATATGAGAGACAGAGAGAGCAAGAGAGTGTAAGAATAATAAAGCAAGAATGAGAAATCAAA